TCCATCTCCAGAAAGATTTTATCATTCTATACTCACACTCTGTCCCCAGTAAACAATAACTCATTTTTCCCTCCCCTAGCCATTAGTAACTGCTCTTCTACTTTCTGTCTGTATGAATTTGACTATTCTAATCATTGATTTTTAAAAAATATTTATTTATTTTAGAGAAAAAGGGTTTGGGGGAAGGGGCAGAGGGAGAGGGAAAGAATCCCAAACAGACTCCCTGCTGAGCATGGGGCCAGATATAGGGTTCCATCTCACAACCCTGAGATCATGACCTGAGCTGAAATCAAGAGTTAGATGCCTGAAAACCTGAGCCATCCATGCCCCCTTGTAATAACTGATTTTTGACAAAAGCACAAAAGCAATTCAATAGATAAAGGACAGTCTTTTTAACAAATGATAAATGATGCTCTAGAAGCTGGACATCTAGAGACAAAAAACAACGCACAATGCGTCACAGATGTAAATGTAAAATATAAAACTATAAAATTTAGAAAACAGCAAAGGAGAAAACCTTTGTGATGTAGGGCTAGATTAAAGTTGACATCAAAAGCATGATCCAGGGTTGCCTGGTTGACATAGTCAGTTGAGCCAATGACTCTTTCAGCTCAGGTCATGATCTCAAGTTCCTAAAATCAAACCCCATGTTGGGCGCCATGGTCAGCAGGGAGTTGGTTTGAGGTTCTTTTCCTCTGCCCCTTCCCCTGCACTTTCTCTCTCTAAAACAAACGAATATTTTTAAAAACCTAGAATGTTCCATAAGAGATAAAAATTGATAAATTGTACGTCATCAAGATTGAAAACTTATATAGTGAAAGACTCAGTGAAAAGGATAAAAAGACAAAGATACTTACAAACCTCTTAGGCAGCAAATGAGTAACTAGTATCTAGAATATATAAAGAAAACTCAATACTCACAGCCCCGGTGGCTCAGCGGTTTAGCGCCATCTTCGGCGCAGGGCATGATCCTGGAGACCCAGGATCGAAGTCCCACATCGGGCTCTCTGCATGGAGCCTGCTTCTCCCTCTGCCTCTGTCTCTGCCTCTCTCTCTGTGTGTCTCTCATGAATAAATAAATAAAATCTTAAAAAAAAAGAAAACTCAATATTCAACAAAAGAAAAAAAAATCCAATTTAAAAATGAGCAAAAGACATGAACAGGTATTTCACTAAAGAGAATATACAGGTACACATATGAAAAGATGTTCAGTATCTTTAACCATTAGGGAAGTGCAAAGCCACAATGACTTATCATTAAACACCTCTGAGAATGGCTAAAATAAAAAAAAAATAATGATAACACCAAATACTGGTAAAGATACAGAGATCTTTGGATCACTCATACATTAGTGGTGGGAACATAAAAGGGTATAATCAGTCTAAGACTGTTTTGTAGTTTTTCATAAGACTAAATATGTAACTGCCATGTGATCCAGTTTTCACACTCAGGCATTTTTTTTTAAAGTAATCTCTGCACCCTGTGTGGGGCTCACACTCACAACTCTGAGATCAAGAGTCACACAGTCTACCAGCTGAGCCAACCAGGTGCCCTGTGGGCATTTGTCCCAAAGAAATGAAGATTATATTCACACAAAAAGCTGTATATAAATGCTTATAGCAACTTCATTTATAATAGTAAAAACTGGAAAAGAATCCCAAACATTCTTCAACAGTAAATAACAAACTGGCACATCCATAAGATGGTGTGCTACTCAGCAATAAAATGCAACACCTTGGATGAATCTCCAGGGGTTTATGCTAATTGAAAAAAAAAAGAAAGCCAATACAAAAAAGTTTCATACTCTGTGTCTCCATTTATATAACATTTTTGAAGTGACAAACTTCTAGAAAATGTGGAATAGAGAAGAGGTTACCAGGGATACAGGATGAGGGTAGAGAGGGAGGTGAGTGGGCTATACAAGGGAAACAAGGGATCTAGTGGTGATGGAAAATGTTCTGTATCTTTACAGAACTGATGTTGACATTCTGATTGTGATAGCACACTAGAGCTCTGCAAGATTTTACTAGGGGAGAAAACTGAGTAAAGAGTACAGAGGGTATATCTGTGCAGTTCTTAAAACTATGAGCAAATCTACAATGATCTCAACTAAAATGTTTAATTAAATAAATAATATAGGGCACACACCTTTCTTCTTTAAGAGAACTGAGGTCGATCTTTTTGAAGTAACTAAGCTTAGAAGTCATTCCTCACGTGGGATGAAGATCAGCCACTCTTCCACCACAGCATTCTAGCCTGGGATGGAGAAATGAAATTGGGCAACTATTTTCTCTGACTTGCTTTCACTAAAGAGCAGAAACATGTAATGAAGTCAATATTAGTTTGAAAAGCTTTAGGCAGGTTTTGAAACATGTCATGGACAAAAGAGAGAATCCCAGTCAGTTTTGGGAAAAAGAGAAATGAAACCTGACTTCTTTTGAACTGAGAGTAATGTGACCAGTAACAAGGCAATATTAAATATCCAGCTGCTCCTTCACTGGCCGTGGTGTGTCTATAACAGTCCTCTCTTAAGTGAAGCTGACAGTTGTGGATAGAATGGGCTCCAGGTTGTTGTAGGGCACAGCAACATCCATCTTGATTTGGATAGTCCCATCCTTTCTGTGCCTTGGATATTGGGCTGTATCAAACAAATAAAATTGAGTTTTTAAATCATAACTTTAATAACAATTTGCAGATGTATTTCATTCAAGGCAGAGGAATTGTTTGTTGCCATGGTTTACCTCAGCTCATGGAAGAGGGTTAAGTTAGATTGCTTTTTGTTTTGTTTTGTTTTCAGTTATGGTTCATCAGAATGCATTAAAATTCAGAACCAACGGTTATATGAAATTGGAGGAAATATAGGTAAGCGTTCTCTAATGGTTTTTACTACTAAATTCTCTGATTGCTCTAAAAGAAATACAATGCTATTGTAAAAGCATATTTTAGAAGTTTCTTAGTATAAATTCGACATCAATAAGTTTCTGAGTTTTTAATCTCATGCGAGAACAGTTGTAGGAATTCCCTGAAATACTCTCAAAATTGAAATGTGAATATTCTGGTTGATATGGAGTAGACTTTTGTGTCTTTTAAGTGTGCCTTAAAGTTGGAAAGTCTGTTCCTGAAGGTTCCTGCAAAACAGAGAACATCATGGAACTTTGAAACTGTGACACTCTTTTTGTTTAACTTCCCTGGTTTCACCCTCAGTTCAGGTCCATTCTTCCTATTTCTCTGAGGGGAAACAAAAAGGAATCAAAGGGAAGTTGCCTCTGCTTGCATCTGTGTCCTATCTTCCCCTTCGTTCAGGTCTTCTGCTTGCCCTCTGCACAGTCTGGATGAACCACCCCAGCTCCCATTATAGCCAGCACCTCCATGTGTACTTCCCTTCGTGTTCCTACCTGCTGCTTGGGGCCTTGCTCCAGCCCCCATTCTCTCCTGCACCCAGCTTTTCCCTCCCAACTGCATCATTTCCAACTGCATAAACATTTTTGATAATTTCTCTCATGGTCAAGACTCTCTCTTGACCCCCACCCTGCCCCGTCCCCACACCTTCAAGCCTATTTCCATTTCAGCGTTCTGCTTTACAGCAAAAACTCCTTGAATCCATTTTCTGTCCTCTAGTTTCTTCCTCTTGTTCTCTCTTGAAACCACTCCAGTCAAGTGTTACCCCGCAACACTCAACCAAAATTGCTCTCTTGTTGAGGCCACTGGAGAACTCTTACCTTGTGAAATCCAGTCATTCGTTCTATCTTGATAACTGCCTGAATTGATCTTTCCCTCCTTTGAAAACACACTTTCTTCACCTGGTTTCATTGACAACCTAAGCTTTTGGGTTTTGTCCCACTTCACTGGCAGCTCCTGAGTCTCTTTTGCCTGCTACTTCTCATCCTCTCAATCTTCAATGTGGAAAACTGTGGGGTCAGGCCCCACAGTTATGTGTCTATAAGACACATAACTTTTTTTGGTGAGTTCAATCCATCTCATTGTTTTAAATACACCTAATATGCAATGCCTTACAAATTATTTCCAGACTTCCTCTCAACACCAACCTTGCAGATCTAGTCATCAGGCATATTTTGCCATGGAGCCTTTGTACTAGGCACATTTTGCTATGCTCTCCTTTAGATTATTCGTTTCTCACTCCTTCACCTCCTGCCAGGTGTTTGCCTCTATGTCACCTTCTCAAAGACACCTTCCAGGATCTCACTTTCTCTAGGTGTGCCTTCCCAGCTTTGTTCTCTCATGTACTTACCACCACCATTATACTTGCTGATTTGCTGGTTGTCTTTTATCATTTTGAATGTAAGTGCCCTGAGGGCAAGTATATTTGACTGTCTGATGCATTTCTGTAGCCCTAGCCCCTGGAATAGTGCCTGGCATACAATAACTTTCAAGAAATATTTTATAATGAGTGAATGAATCAAGCAAGTAATCAAACATTGGTAGTTTTGTTTGAGACTTTGGTGTAGATTTCAAACACACTCTACGTAAAGATTTTCAAATGTATTTGCCTCATGGAATGATCTTTTTGTTGTTATCATTTCTAGATCTCCTGCCTATGGGCATTGCATCTGTATGTAAAGAAACAAAATGACCATTCCTAAAATGAACTTGATTTTAATCTTTTCTAGCCCTAGTCAAGTTACTATGTGTAAAGCCGTTAGAGGACACATGTTATTATATAAATTATCAGTTTATACCTTAAACGGGTTCTTTCCATGTTTTTCTAATTGATGTGGTAAGTCTACAATTTGCCTATAGTTGGTAGTCTTTTTTCCCCCACAATTTTGCGTGGGATTTGAGTATTTCACAGTCAGAAAGAAACAAAGAGAAAGAGAAAGGCAGGCAGGCAGACTGGCTTTGCTAAAGAACCTCTAATATGTATCTACTTACTTTTGGCTGAGAGAACTATATTAGCCTTATTCAAACCTTACCAACATTCACGTGCACACATAGAAGTGTGCACTCTCGAAAACATTTCTCTGATTTTCTCTTTCCTTTAGGGCAGCATTGCTTGGATCCAGATGCTTATATATTGGATGTATATCATGTAAATCCTCAAGCAGAGTGGGTGATAAAACCCCAATCAAGTTTTTGAAATACCCCCAAGATGGCACCTATCATGTATTATATGCCAAGAAGATTCTACATTTGGTAGGGAAAATAACAAGACTATTTTTGACATGTTTATTCCAATAACCCTCGTGGTGTTTCTCAGACCAAGTGGCATCTCCCAGTGTTGTCAGCATGAATTGTTGGAGGAGGAACTGGTTGACTGAGCTGAGGCTTTCTCCTATGGTTCTTTTCTCCTATGGAAAGACGAGGTGATCGTTCCAGAAGAAAGGCCAATCTAGTATATGGAACTCTGATCTAGTACTTTGACTTCACAACAGAAATGAATTTGGTCCTATGCCTAGAGATTAAAAAAACATTTCTCTATGTAGCAGATGCTACCAAACACAAGAGGTGGAAGTGGTTTTTTTTTATACTTATGTTATATACATATGTTGACCTTTTTGAACAAGAATGACAGAAATATCAGTAATTTCTGTTCAGCAAAATAATTCAGATTGGCTTTTCAAAGGGAATCAGTTTCTGAATTTTTGCATATAATATTGACTTGCTCCCAAATTGGAGGAGGACGAACTTTGGTTGAAAGAACACTGTATTGTTATGTATGTTGTACTGTATTATGACTATCTGCATTTTGGTGCAAATGAACATTTCTCTATTGTGGACTATTGAAAATTGATGTTTTTCAAGCTTATTTTCTTATGAGCACAGGTTCCATAACAAAGGTTAGTTTGACAGAGGGTGTTCTTATACTCTCATAATCTTCTGTGTGGTTAATAGTCATAGAACCTCTATCTTTTCATCGTGATTATGGTGCTCAATGAATAGCTTTCTGTGTGCCAAGCACAGATTTCCTTTCCTGATCCAACATACCATTTTTTTTTATTTTACAACTGTAGATAGTCACTTCTGTAGCCCCAATTTAAAAATATAGCATTGCCTTTATCCAACTGCTCTTTATGCAAGAGTACTGAAAAATACTGTTATATCCAGATTTTATATGCTGTAAAAGCAAATTTTGTTTCTGTTCATCAATCATAGACATGGCCAAGCACTATGGATTAGCCTCAGGCTTTAAAATCATATGCATAAAAAAATAAAATAAAATCATATGCATATTTGGTAAGCCGGAAACTATCTCACTGTGAAGGTCCTGCAGAGCCATTTTCCAGACTTGCAATTGGCAAGAACACACAGTTCTCCACAGTCTAATGGAGAGCAAATCTGAAATGTGCTGAGGGGTCAGACAGCTCTGCCTTTCATCTTGAGACTGCAGATACAGTTCTTCTAGGGTTAGCTAGAAATGGGAACAGAGGTCTCATTTATCCCACATATGTGCTTTGGATTAGAATCCACAGATTAGGATTTTGATGAATTTATATCAATTTTAATGAGATTTAATGCCCGAATGACTCTCTTTGGCAGTTCAAACAATTAAGTTGCTCAAAATACAGAAAACATTTTGCCAGTGTTTTGGTAAATGTTTTTACCAATGTTTCTAGTTACCAATTCTCAAAACTTAATGTGATAATAATTTAAGCCCACATATAGAAGAATTTTTTTTCTTTTCTTTTTCAAAAGCAGGGCTTGAACTCAAGACCCTGAGATCAAGACCTGAGCCAAAATCAAGAGTCGAATGCTTAACCGACTGAACCACCTTGGTGCCCCTAGGAGAAATCTTTTATATGCTGCATTATGCCTTGATAGCTCTAAAAAACATTATTTATTTTCAACATGTAGATAATTATGTTTCTGGCCATTAGGATTTTTATTATATTTTTATAAAAAAAAAACTCAAATATCCATTCATTTTATTTGAGAATTTTTATTTCCTATGCCTGAAAACCCTTTAGAAGATAAACATGTACCCTGTAGGTTTTAAATTTATTCCTACATTTCATCATTTTTTAATGTTTGGTTAATTGATGGCATGTGAGTTTACGTAATCAATTTCAAGAGTTTGAAAAAAATGCTTTTATTGTTTTTGTAATACGGACAACAAGAGTAAATATTTTTTGCAGTTGCTAACTTCCAAGGCATAAGATGGCAGTAATTTATACTCACACATGGAAGAAATTCTTCAAGTTAGATATCTATACTTCTATGTATATATAAAAACAGGGACTGATTTTTCTCATTGTGTTTTCCCCTTATTTCAGATAGTTACATTCTACTGTGTTTTTATAGGAGATTTACAAATCTAATTTTTTACTTGAGAATTTTCCCATCTTCAGACTGAAAACACATTAAAGCCTATATATAAGATCTGAAGGTTTTAAGATTTACTCTACTTGTCATTAGTTCAAATAAATAGCTAACAGATGACAGATAAACAACAGTTTTTAAATTTTTTACCCACTTTTGTGTGGTGTCAGATGTCGAAGACTCAGCCGAGTCAATAGCTTTAAATTAATTACTTGAATGTATTTAAGGATGTGTGACAACTTTCAGGTAACTATGTATTATGGAAGGCATGTCAATACCAAATAACTTTTATTCTTAGTCATAGGATTAACTAAGTGGTTGAAGGAGAATTTTCCGTAGACACACAGACTAATAAGAGTAGAGGTTCTTTTTACTAATTTTATTCTTAAAGAATTAAACAAACCCCTACAATTACAATTCAAAAATGTCTATCAAATAATTATTGAAACCATCTTTGTTTTATCAAAATTGTTTTAAAATAGTTACAGTAGTCTGTAAAACTGAGTAATATGTTTGCAAACAAAAGAAGAGTCAGATCCTGGGCTTCTAGATTCAGTTCTTACTAGCTTCCTCCCCTCTTCCCAAGTGCTCTTGATATACGGTTAGGAAAATAATATCCAGGAAAGTATTAGAGAATGTTAACATTTTAGTGACACTTAATCAGAAAAAGCCCTAGAGCTGGCTCATTGTTTTCTCCATTTTGCGAAAGAGGATTCCTTTGTCAAGCAGCTCACTGAGGGATATGATTCTTGGAGCCAGTGATCTTCAAATAAACTGGAATATTAATTTCATTACAATGTGTACACGGTATTAACTACCTCACTTGCCTTTCTTGGGAAAAAAAATGACTTTAACAGTTTTTGTTACAAACTTTCTCTGAGTCTTATTATTTAAGTCACTTCAGTTAGCTTTCAGTGTACATGTAATATACATTTAATGATGTAAAAAATGTTTAGCACAAGCTTTAAAGCCAAAAATACTCTGTAACTGTGACGTGTGGTATACTCTGAGAGAATTCGTGTCCTTTAGTTATTGTCTTATGTGTTTCACCATGTTGCAATGCAGGTTTTCAAGTGTGGGAATTAATAGTCATCTCTTCTTTCAGGCATTTTTCAACTGCTTTCCCCATATTGCACTTGGCTGAAAAGTAACATGAGATTAAATTGTCCCTTCTTTCTTTGAAGCATATTTCAACTGTTTTTCACAAATGTTTTACATGCCTGAAAAGAATATATATTATGGGATTAAATATTTCCTAGTTTCTGACAGGCATTTTCAACTGTTTTCCATAAATATGTCATTTAATAATAATATGACATGGATTAAAATGCTTCTTTCAGACATTTTAAATAGTTTTACACATACAGCTTAATTTAAAAACTACATCTTTTCTTTCATTTTCCAACTATTTTCTAAAACTATGTGCTCTGATAGAAAATTATTTAATGTCACAAGAAATGCCAATGTTTTATGTTGTCTTCCATCTCAAAAGTTAATATTCTTTCGTTCCAGCTTTCATTGTTAAGTATAATATATATGTTGCATTTTATTCATAAAAATAAAGAGAAAAAAACCAAAAGCATTGTCACAAGAATTCTTATAATTCAGCTAGTCTAAGGGTACCACGGTGCTGGTGAAAGAACAAGAGCTTTAAAATCAAAATGTATGTGTCTGAGCCCACTCTCTGTCACTGACCCACCAGATGGTGGTCTTGTACAAAAGCTGTATCATACAATAGTGATGGACAGTTGTGGATAGGGGATGAATTGAATAAACAACAGTTTCCTAAATTTGTTTGAGTTTGGGGCAGGTATTTAAAATGTCTTTCTAAAAAAACGTTCTCAATACAGAAAAAAAAATTTGACAAAATTTAATACCAGTTAATGATTTTTTTTAGGAAAATTCAACATTGTGTGTCTTGTGCAAAAGGCAAGAAAGAAAAGGCATAAAGAAAAAAAAATACAAGTCTCTATTTGCAAATGATACGAGTATTTACGTGGGAAAGCCTAGAGTATCTTCAGCTGTTAGAACAATATTAAGATAATTTACCAAGGTCATGGTATACAAGATGATTATATAATAATCAATTACATTTTTATATTAGCAAATAATTAGAAAATGTTTTAACTTCCATTTCCTATAGCATCAAAAAACATAAAGTACTTATGAAAACATCAAAATATATGCAAAACATGTATGCTAAAAACTAAAAACTGTTTTTGGTAGAAACTAAAGAATAGCTAAATAAATATATAGTTATACCATGTTTCTGTATGGGAGAGATGAATGGAAGAGCATTGGCAAGATGTCAGTTCCTCACAAACAGATTTATGGATTTAATGCAATCCCAATCATAACACTAATAGGCTTTTTAAGTAGAAATCGGCAAACTAATTATAAAATTTATATGGATGCAAAGGATCTAGAACATCTAAAGTAATACTACCCTCAAAAGAGAAGAAAGTTGGATTTACAATGAAGGACTTCAAGACTTACTGTAAGTCTACAGCTATTAAGACAAGATGATACCGAAGGAAGATCAACACCTATTATCAATGAAACAAAATAGCACAGAAAGAGGTGCTCACTTAAATGGTCATTTGATTTTCAACACAGGTGTGAAAGGAACCCTATGGAGAAAGGAAGGTACTAGAAGAACTAGATATACATATCACAGGGTATACAGAAATTTGCCCAAAAGGGATCATATTGTTAATTTTAATGCCTGAAACAACTATGCCTTCAGAAGAAAACAAAATAGCTTTGTGACTTGGGGATAGGCAAAGCTTTCTTTGGAACAGAAAACTGCACTTTTAAAGAAAAAAACTTAATAAATTCAACAAAATTTAAAGCTGCTGCTTAACCAAAGGGACCATTAAGAAATCAAATAAGCAAACCACAGATTAGGAAAAAACACATATTTGTAAATCATATATTTGACAAAAGATTGACATTCAGGATATATAAAGAATTCACTAATGAAAAGACAAACACATTTTTGAAATGGGCATAATAACTTGGATATTTCATGAAAGAAGATAATACAAGTGGCCAATAATCACATAAAAACACATTCAACATCATGTGCTGTTAGGGAAATGCAAAATAAACCACAAGGAGATATTACTACGTACCAACCAGAACAATTAAAAGTGAAAAGGCTGACCATTCTGAGTGTGCAAGAATCAAAACCCTTATAATTGCCGATATAAAATGGTATAGTCATTTTGGAAAAGGGTCTAGGAGGTTTTTTTTTTATCATTCTAACCATACAACTACCAGCTGCTATCTGAGTACAGATAACAGCATAAATGAATCTCAGAAACATTATGCTGAGTGAAGAAAGCTAGACACAAAGGATTACATACTGTACAATTTCATTTACATGAAGTGCTAGGATAAGCAGAGCTAAACAATGGTGGGGGAGAAAACCCAGAATGATGATTGCCTCTGTGGCGGTGGGTATGGAGACTGGGTGGAGGGGGCATGGGGCCTTTCTGGGGAATGGAAACATTTTTTATGTGCCATCCCATGTGAGGACCCCTGGCTACATGGGCCTATTGAGCATTTGATATGTGACTAGTCTGAACTGAGGTGTTCCAAGTATAAAATACACACCAGATTTTGGAGACTTGGTAGGAAAGAATGTAGCACATCTCATCAGTAATATTTTACTGTTACATGCTTGATTCTAATATTTTAAATATTTACATTAAAGTGATTAAAATAAATTTCAGCAGTTTCTTTTTATTTAATGTAGCTAGTAGAAAATTCTAAGTTATATATGTGGCTTACATTATATTTCTGTGGAGCAGTATTGTTTTATATTTTGATCAGTGTCTGGGTTATAAAGATGTACATACTTGTCAAAACATAGTGAACATTTACTTAAGATTTCTGCATAGCATTATATGCAAATGTTACCTCAAAAGAAAATAATTTGCAAATAACCAATATTGAACTTTAGGTAAGGAGATGCATACTGGAGTATTTCATGGAAAGTGTATTGGTGTCTGTAACTTATTTTGAACTGTATAAAAATATGACAGATTGATGAATGAATAGAGGGATACATGGATAGACATGCACCAGGCCAAATACAGTAAAATATTTATGATATAATGGTGGTGGTTATAGCAGTATTCAATGTAATATTCTCTATGCTTGAAATTTTACATAGAATTTTGAAAAAAAAGAATTCTTTTTAAAAATGTTTTTCTTTTTAAAAAAGTTTTTAAAGATTTATTTCCTACTTTTAGAGAGAGTGAGGAGAGCATGAGTGGGGTGAGGGGAAAAGGAAGTGGAAGGCAGAATGGGGGAGAAAGAGAGAGAATCCTCAAGCAGACCCCTTGCTGAGCAAGTAACCCCACGTGTGGCGCTATTCCTATGTCCTAGGATCATGACCTGAGCCAAATTTAAGAGCTTAACTGACTGAGCCACCCCGGCACCCCTGAAAAAAAATTCTTAACACAAAAACATAAAAGCAGATTAAAGAGAATCAGGAATTTGGGCAATGCTGAGTTTCCCCTTAGATGTTTCTTTTTCTCTTCCCCACAGTAAATTACACTTTCTCCAAATATCTTCAGACAGAAGTTGAGTGGGGGTGAGAAGCAAAGAGAATGGAGAGGGTATGCTTTTGAAGTTTTACCTGAGCTATGTCAACTAGCAAGCATATGTGTATTCTTAGTTTGTTTATAGCTTCTAGCTGACACTAATCTATTCTGAGTGTTTTGCAACCTCACCACCTTCTTCCTCACTGTGTAGCTGTGGGCCAGTGCTGGACTGTAGCTTGTGTCCTTAGATGACAGGGGCTTCTCTCCCACCACTCACCCTCACCCACTACATCTCACTTCATGCTGCCTTGGGGCTCCAACCTAACGACACGACAATCTAAACATATAAGTGCCAGAATCAGTAAGAACATACCTATCACGAATGATCAGTGGATTCACCCATCTAATAATCTATTGCCAAACACAGTAGTGGAAGCTATTTTCTAGTTTCATAAATCTTTAATCCTGCAAAACAGCTTCTTATTTTAAAGGAGTGACTTATCAGTTCAGCTTAAACAACAGATGTTTTGGAAGGAGTTGCAAAGTGATCCAGTTCTAACCAGCAATCCAGAGTTCTGTTCTCCATTATCAGTTTCATAACCCCTAGCCCTACAACTCTAGATTCAGCAGTGCAGTAGTTTAAGATGTATTATATAGTGATGCAGATAATAAACACAAAATATACTGAACATAACAACATCCTCCATGTCAATTTAGAAAGTTAACATCACTGCATGCCATCTTGTCCATAGTTATAAGCAAAAGGTTCACAAAAAATTCTCAGGATGCCCATGTGCCACTGGCAACCTCTGTCTGAAGGAGTGTGAGAAGTTACAGGTTTCAAAAGTTCACTTGATAACAAAAAATAACAGAAACGTGTTCATCTTTTGGACACTATATAAAATTATTATGCAAAAATGTCGAAGAGGTCACCACGGAACAAGGCAGTCCCAGGTGTTTCTCTGAGGTTGAGGTCTTCCTCCACAATTCATACAGAGGTAAGTCTGAGGAATTGTTCTCTTTTGTCTTTCTGTACCCACCAGAGCCAGAATATATCAATATGTTCATTGCACTGCCCATTATGTGGAGTAAAGGGTTGCAAAACTCAACAGTTTAAAAGGATAGGTATGCATCATAAGATCTACTTTTTACTAAAAACAATGCTCCTCAGCAATACAGTTAACATGTTCTCTTACTGGGTTCCCAAGAGAAAGGAGCAAGACAGTTAATCTAAAATCAGATTTCCAGGAGCACCTGGGTGGCTCAGTTGGTGAAGAGTCTGCCTTCGGCTCAGGTCATGATCCTGGGGTCCTGGCTTTGAGACCCGCATCTGTCTCCCTGCTCAGTGGAGCCTGCTTCTCCCTCTCCATTGGCCCATTCCCCCCCCTGCTCATGCTCTCTCTGCCCCCAAATATAAATAAATAAATAAATAAATAAATAAATAAATAAAGAATCTCTTTAAAGTCACATTGCTATAGAGATACAGAAAAGATCATGTCATACCTTTTTTTTTAACAGTCCTTCCATCCATAACATTTAACACAATATATATACAAAGTAGTATATAATCATTAGGACCTTTTCCATGAGACAGTAATCTTCCTTTCATCTCTTGACCAATCCATTTAGTATATGTCCAATTAATCTTAATGGGGCTCCAGTTACCTTTATCCTGGAGATTATGGGCATGTTTACATCAAATAATAGTACGTGATAGTTTAACACATCAAATCATGGTGCTGCATAATTTTTATCCAGTTTAGCAAAACTGTCCCCATTTAAATATTCCACACTTAGCATGTCTCGAAGTGAATTTTTATATCTTTATGCCAAAATCCATTATAACCATATGTTGGTTTTTTAAAATCTCAGTTTAGAGCAACTTTTTTTAGGTCCTTAAGTCAAAACTCTTGGAGTCCCTTGGATCCTTTCTTGTCACAGCCCACATCAACTCATTGGTAAACCATAGGGGTGATCACATTTAAAATTTAAAAGCACAGTCACATCCTAGTCATAAAAGAACACAGGTAGGCCCAAGTCCTTCTAGCTTGAACCTGTAAACGTTTAGATTCTGTAACTTTTACCTCTGAAAAGAGCCTGTCATTATCCTAGAGAACATTCAGCTTTCTGGGTATTTGTCATAGACAGCAGCAGAGGATTTGGGTTCTAGTTCAGGACTAGTTGGTGCAGACTGAGCTGCAG